TTTCCTATTACTTGTAGGTGCTTGCTCTAATGATCTTGAACGACTTCTGCTATTCCTGTGGTTAGATTCCGAGTCGCTCGGGCTACGATAATCTCTACTTCGTTTGTTGTTTCGCGTGTTATGACTGACGTGAGAGCGAGAGCGTTCTTTACTTTTAGGACGTGACCTACCTCTATGACGGCTTTTGACGTATCGATATTTACTTTCCAATTTTTTAAGTCTTTCTTTGTAATGTTTTTCTCGCAGTTCTTTGAGTCCGACATTACTAAAAAACCTGTAGTAAAACTTAATGTCTGCCCAGTATTAATATGCTTACTAAGTTTGACGTGGTGACGAACCTTATGTCAGGAGCACAAAGTGACGAATGAGAATAGTAGGGCGCAGTAGGCTGATGTAGGTAGGTGGGGAATTTTAATCTTTAAACCTTGTGCACTAGGAGTACGACAGAGACATGCAACGTGGTAAAATAAGGGATATTGAGGATTGGACACCAACACATAATAACCTTATTTTGGTACAGAGCTTTCATAAATGTTTACAAGCGATGTGACCGCTGAGCTTAGTCAACTAATATTGCAAGTTATCGAAAATTCTCTAAATCGTCACCAATATTAACGATTCGTTTATAATGAATAATGACAAACCGTTACGTCTACACTCGAAACAATATACATCTTGATTATGGTGCACAGTTGATGAAACCTTGTTCGAAACAGGTTCTTACCAAATGGGACAAAATCAAGCATTTAGAATCGTTGCGGGATACATGGAGTCTACAACCAATGTGTCAATAGCGGAATGTGCTAAAACGGCTCTTGAATACAGGAGAAAGTGGCTAGCAAGTAATTTGGTACTAAAAATAATTGCAGAATAAGAACATCCAATACCGGAATTATTATTGGAACTGGACAATTATTGTCAATCTAAACTAGGATACTGGAGATGTAGGGAAGAGCCATACATTATAGAAGTGGTATACCAATATGTGTACAATATACATGCCGGGAAAATCCTACCATGCTTTAAGTACGAATATAAATTATCAGATAACATTAATTTCAATTGCAAATATCAATAACGACAGAGCTCAAATAAATAACGAAGAATTCCTAGAAGTCTTTCGCGAACAGTGCGAACACTACACCTCAATTTTCACTAATGGCTCGCTTTTAAAAAAGCAAATATGGGACTAGGAATATACATCCCATGCATAAACTACCAGTACTTCACTCAAACACACATAATTTTGTACAGCAGAAGTTGTAGCGGTTAACGAAACCATTTCCATATGCCCAGAGAAGAACCTGGATAAGTCGGAAAATTTTTAGACTCCAAGTCCGCTCTATAAAAAATTATTAGTATTGAAAATCATAAAGATAGAGATCACATTTCCATGAAAACCACAAGTTTGCTGATAGAAGCAGGAGCAAATCGCTGTGAAATTAAGCTAGCATGGATTCCAGGACACTCCAATATTCATGGAAATTTAGTGGCAGACATTAGAAGGGATTCAAATAATCACGTAGAAGTAGAAATAGTCTACCAATAATTAAGCATCAAATAAAAGTGAAATGGAAAGAAGAATGGAAATCCAGCACATTCTCATGAGGTTCCAGCTACGCGCAGATAACAAATGAGTTTCCAGGCTCTCCGAGGTTCACTTTATTCCCGTACAAATACAGAAGACATCTAACCATAATAATAATTAGAATGAAAATAGGTCACTGTTTAACTAACAAGAATATGGATTTTATCACATCCGTACTGTGAATTTAGCTACGTGACTAATTTTAATTTTACTGGAATGTCTACTGAATAAGAGTTCCGATTTATATCAGGAGTTATACAAAGCAAAATCTCCTCTTGATAAGAAAGTTTAGTCAAACGATTTGAAGTTAATGTTTTTTATTTGTATCTACTGTTAAAGTTTATTAGTATCTACTGTATCAATTTGTAAATTATAACATGTATATTTATTTCAGAAAACCCTAAAACCTTCTAAATCTTTCACTAACCTGGGTGCTTCTCACTAATCCAAGGTAACATTTCGGTGTGTGTAAGGCTCGGTTGTTACCCCCGAGCGAGAAAAGTACATACACAGTCGTTGAAGATATTGAAAATTAATCAAGGGAATGTGAGTACTTAATCTCAGATGCACTTCACGGTAAACAATTATTACATAAGAAGCTGGCTAAATGTCGTCTGGGTGTAGACTAAAAAAAGAAACAGGAAGAAAGAAGGAGAAATTTTATTGCCAACATTAAGGAAATAAAATTACTATTTCAAATAAAATTACTGGTCATGTGGTCGTAGTAATCATTTATGAAGGCTCTAGATAAAATAATATAAACCTCTAGAAGTACTTTACAATAATAGAGAAGATAAATAAGAGCAACCGCAATTGATAATACCACGATTTTTCTATTATGTTGACGGAATTTGGAATTTGGTATCAAATTGAAGAAACAGGATGTTAGATATTTTACTTCAATATGTTTAGAATTATGATTTATATAATAAATGTAATTAAAACCAAAAAAATAGTGTTTTGGCTAGAAAAAGTATTATTACTAAAATAAATATTCTTAAAATAGTATTATATTATATTGCTGTTTATTTGCTTTAGTTATTTGTAAATAAATAAAAGTTAATATATCGGGTGTTCTCTAGTTCTCATTTATTTTAACAACTGGTAGAACTCGTAAATAAAGTCGATTTAATAAAAATCTTTTATATAAAATTTGCCAAATAAAGCAATTCACAATTATTTAAAAAAATTGAAATTTAAAAACTTTATAATACAAACCTGATTTATTGTCATTTTCGACCACTGCGTTGTAAAAACATAAATTAATGGTAAACAAATGGTAACAATTTTGAACAATTTTAGTAGAACAGGATTAATATAACTATATACCTCTCTATATAACTCTCTTCTTCTGCAACTCTGAGTACACCCTTTATAACATTTAAACTTTTAAGTAGGCATATCCCTTTTCCTTGTAAATAATTTTAAAAATATTAAGGTACAGTATCCTTATTCTTATAAATTCAAAAGAGGCAAATATTTCTTGTATAAATAAGTAGATACCTATATTGTCCTGGTACGTGTGTAATATTAATGTGCCTTTTTATTATACTTATCTTTATAAAAGTAAAAGAGGAAGCAATTTAAAGATATAAATTCAGATTGTTTTCATCTATTATAAAATTAATTGTTTATCAAAATAAAGCAAATATTGCCCTGGGCTGGACAACTTAGCAAGGACAAAAACGCAACCCAATTTTTCTTTAGAAGATAACCTCTATTAATCTCAATTTCCTGCTTCAGTCAACATATTTTAATGAGATCTAAACAATTTAGAAGTATTTATACCTTTTTGGTTTTGATCCACACTGATCTGGGATATTTATTATTTTTTCTGGCAAAATAAATTCATTCATTGGCTTGTTACTTTGTGTTAACTAAAGATACATACTGCCAAATGTCACCTAGACATTGACCTATCTGAGTTTGTAGCTTATACAGGGTGATTCAGAACTTATCCCAAGGAAAGAAATAAATAAAAATTTATAACCTATTAACACCTATTTTATATCAGCAAATTCAATTGCCTTTGCCGCTATTGCTATTATTAATTAATAAAATTAATTTGTGATTTTAGTTAATAAAATAATTTCACATACCTACCTGATGTTACAACAACTGTTCAAAATTTTATTCACCGACGTGTAACACATTTGGTCCCGTCTTACCCAGTTTCAACGAACTAACACAAATCTTGCTTTCATAAAATAAACCATATCCATCAACTCCGAATTGCTATACGCTTAAGCCAATTTTGACACTTGAAAAACTAATGTAGGTAAACACAATCGCAACAACGATAATACTAAAATTGGGACTACAATAGCCCAGCGATGTAAAGGTTGAAAATACTATAATTTCAATAATTTTTTTCTCGGAAACTGTAAGGATTTTACAAAAATTTTTTTACGATATTGACTCAATTTTTGTTGACACTTATTCTCAATTTTTTTTAGATAGGTTGTAAATCACCCTATGTAACTAATGCTACATCCATACTGATACATTGGAAAGCATGTCTTCATTTGTCAAGTATTCGCCAGAGCTATAAAAATGGTATCCAATAAAATGTAGGAAACATCTGCTTCAATGACCACATCAGTAGGGTTCATATCTACAGACTTGTAACTTCTCTACATTCGCAAAAAATAATAACTGTACATAAACGGTTGACATGGGAAAAATTCGTAAATATTTTTAGAGACATAATAATGTCACGTGTTTGTTTGGCGAGTGACCACAGTCACGGCTTTAAGAACATTTGATAAATTAAAAAATAAATAATCTGTTTCACTGTCTAACATTCTCTTTATGTAGTGCGCTAATCTACAAATTAAAATGTAAACAATTTAGTTTGTCGACAATAAAGTAGTTAAGTTTTCTTACAAATATGTGTGTATAAGTGAAATTTTATAAGTATATGAGTATTTTTAGACTGAGCATAAAGTTAGTTTAATATCTTCATTAATATACGTACGCAGTAGCGTTAAAACTTTTCATTGATATTATTTTTATGCATGAATAAACTGTTTTATTTCTAATAGACGTGTCTATAAAAACAGTAAAGTTAATATTTTCAAGAATGTACACGTAGTATCTCATTCGACTAGAATGTTTTCACACACTATCTACACATAACAGTTGCAGAAATTTCCAATAAACGCATTGTTACGGTGCTATAATGAAATGCGGTGGAATAAAATAAAGATGCATCAACTATGTAAAAATTATAAATCTGCTGTGCATCGCGCATACATCTGCCCAAGTAAGTATTCTCAAATCTAAGTAAACAATAATACATTATTATATAGATATGGGGGACATGGCATGATGCCATTTGCAAATGTTGTAATAACGTCTTCTCGATGCAATTGCTGTAGGGGGAAGTAATAATTGAACATAGGTATATATTGTAGGTAAGTACTATAAATACTAGAAGCTGAAATAAACAGTGCTCTATACCTCTTTGTTTCCATGTTATGTTAGTGCTTTTAAAAGTATGGATTGGCTAAGGGTAAGTAACATAGTAGTTGTACGCAGTGATGTACGACCAGAAACTTTAACGCTGACTATATTTTTGTGATACCTATCTATTTTATGCTTTAAACATTGATTGCTGCCGTTATTTTATTTAAAAAAATATTATTTAATATTAGGTTTAACATTAGGTTTGTTAGGGACTAGCTGATACGTTTGACCAGTTGTTGCCTTCATATTCGTTGTAAATAACTTAAAAAGATTTTTTTCTTGTAGTTTCAAACAGTCCACAACAGATTGCTAAAATAAATCTGTTATACTATTTTGTAATGTTATTTTATTATTTTGGAAAGGAAAGCTTCAAACCAAAATTAGCCCGTGTTTGGTAGCACATAGATAACTTTTCAGTGACTTCGAAAATTATATCGTATTATAAGAAATAATTAGGTAAAAATTATTTTATGTTCAGTATAAAGTTAAGATTTTAATACAAATATTAAGTTACTATAGCCACGGTATTTGACCACAGTGTATATTGTATTGTATTTTCCAATTTGTACGCCACGGGGTATAACGAATGCATAATTCTATGATAATAATTATATAATAATAATATACAAAAGTTTTTTTATAGTAATACTTATATATTTTACGTGTAACAAAAAATAATAAAGTATTAGCTATAGTTTATTAGAATGATTCTTAGACCTAATAATTTATCTTTATTAAACGCGTTCCACATTAATCAATATTTTGCCTGTGGTGAATATTGTACGATAGATAACTCTTTATGTAAAAAATTTATTTAGTTTTTATCTAAATAATTTATGTAATTGACATTTACTGAAATAGTACCCAAAGTAAGGCCTGATTAATGTTATGACAAATAAAGCACCTAAGGATGTCAAATAAAATACTTATTTTATATGTATAAAAAGTATATTAAAGGATTTCAATAAATTTATTTACAAACAAGTTTATCATACTCGTAATTGCCTATAACTAATTATTCCATTAACGGGACGCTACTACATTATTACAACTAAAACACTACATATGTATTAATAACAAGCCAATGTGTTTTATTGCTCTGTTAAGATTATACTTTGTTACAAACTCAAATATAAAGGATTAATTTTATACAGACTGTAATTAAAGTGCCAAATTTCATAAATTTTCAAAAAAAGTTCGGACACGCTCCGTTTTTAGTACATAATGAAAATGTGTGCTTGCAAAAACAGTAAATAATATTTAATTTCATTATTATTTTATTTAAAGATAATTTAATATTTTGTCACATTTCATACCTAATAATTGTCTATACATTGTCTAATATTTTATTATTTATCTCGAAAAAGGTGTATTCTAACAGCAATAGCAATAATATATTTTTGGGAAGTCATAATCTGTGTATTAATTTAAAATATTTTGGAAAAAAATACCAAACGAAAATTACTATGTCCACCATTAGAAGAAATGTAAATCTGTAAGTAATAAATTTGGGTTATGTTTATATAGTTGTGGACAACCCAATTTACTTATCAAACGAAAACGACTACGAAATGACTGCAGTTGTTTTTTTAAGTCCATTCTTTTCCAAGTTTGGCTGCATGCTTCTAGACATTTTTTAATTTGTGACATAATACGTGCCATAAAGATTGGCCAAGAATTTTAGTTACACCCTAAGTCTTTCAAATATCCTAAAAACAATAAATATATTTACTGTATTTTTTAATAACACCCATTATGTACTACTGAAATAAAATTTTAGTGGTAATGTTGTAATGTACGTACATTCACAAAATGGTAAAGATCAAAGTTTTAGTAAATTTTCTCGCGAACTCAAAGAAATATTTATCAAAATAATTGATTGTTGTATATGTATGCTAAACTTCTATTCTTTTTTAATGGAACACACACCCTGTATTTTTATTCCTCTCATTTTTCCCATTATAATGTAATTATTATGTACCTGCTCTGCTGTAATATTTTGGTATATTTACTGATTTGGATTTATTTATCGTTGCTAAATTTACTAAAGAAATCTCTAATTTCTTTATTAACAACAAATATCCTATTATAAAAAGTGTTTTATGGTGCCTTTATCCTGTTATAGACAAGCAAGTTTTTTTATAATACCATACCGTTACCCACTCTGTTAACAGTATTATTATACATTATTAGATCGTTCCTTATTTAGGGTATTTCAGAATCTTCTATAGAAAAAAAAATGGAGGTCAAATTACAACTTCTTCCGGATCATAACTTTATCTAGGTATTATAAAAAGGCTTATTTAAAAATAGATCATTTTATAGTGTAGCATTTTTTCTTAGAGAAATATTTAAGTATCTGTTTAGTAAATTTAATCACGGAAATAATCGGTACCATGGTAAGCTTGACTGCTCTGTGCAAGGTTGGTACAAAAAATCAAAATATTGTGACATGTCACTGTAGGTATTTATAAAAAAGAGTATGCCGAAAAACGACAAATAAACAAACTAAAAAGAAAACAAAAGTTTGGTTTATATCACTGAAATGCAGCATTCATTGTTTATTCATATATTTCTTTAAGATCGCAAGAAAATTGGCATTTATTATTTTTTCCTAAATAAAAAGGCGATAACAGATAAGGGGGTGTGTGAATGACCCAGTTGAAAATATTTAACAGCAGAACCAAATCAGATTTGAGCAAACTTGCGGTATAAAGGAGTACTTCTAACTACTTACAAGCTTTGTCGAGAATTATTGGTTTATTCGTGGGATCATCAAATTGAACTGTAAATGTATCTCGAAAGCGATCAGGTTTATACAGGGTGATTCACTTTTTATCATTAGGATTGTTTGAAAAACTTAACTGTTTCACATGTAATGAATCCAGAAGAAGCCATTTTTCTTAAAAATCAAGCATTTAATTTAAAAATAATAAGATACCTTTTTGCTGTAGAATAAACCGCAATGTAAAGAAAATATTCATTTTGAAAAATTTCCAGTGACGCGTAGAAATTGTATTAAGTATAGAGGTTAATAGACCCCTTACGGACGCCTATGATTGATCTATGTTCTCAATAATGTGTAAAATTTATAGAGTTTTTTATTCGCACACCTCACACTAAATATAAAACAAATTTCATGGTTTAAGAAAAAATAAATAAAAACAAAAAAAAATGTTTTTTCAAGAGCTTATCTCTAAAAGGAAGCTTTTGGAAGAAAAAGTATATACAGTGCAACCTCTTTAATCCGAACACACGTTAATCCGATCACACGCTAATCCGAACGGCCAAATCTGAACGATAACAAGAAAAGACTAGATCGCTTCGCGCGTACGCGCGTAGTCCGCAGTCAGTTTGTTTACCGATAGAGAAGAATCTGTTGCGTGTCGTGTTTTGTGTAACAATTTTGGAGTTTTTTTGGAAGTAAGAAAAATAAAAAATGTGAAAAGCGTAAAATAATACATATATGTAGGTATATGTAACTACATGTTTATGTTTTACCTTATATAAGTTTTATGTCTTATATGATATATATTTATATTGTTATATTAAAATGTGTATGTACTTCCATAATATACATATGTACAAATCTTTATAGTATGTTCAATAATCCGAACAATTCGATAATACGAACAATGCCTGACAATGTGATGTTCGGATTAAAGAGGTTGCACTGTACTTAAAAATGACATTATGACAAGATCTATCGATGGTTAAAGTCCTAATCATAAAAAGTGAGTCAGCCTGTATATAAGATATATAGTGCGCTCCATTGCGAAAGACTTGGGTATCACGTGTCAAAAAATATTTTATGTATTACCAACAACTAACTCTACTAAGTAATGCAATAATTCAAAATTCTCAAAAGAACAAAAAGAAAAATTTAAGTCCTTCAATCAGTTGATTAATTTGCAAAAAGAAAAACATTAAAAAAATATTCTTTATTAAGTAATCTAGATCGAAATGTATCTCCTAACAAAATTTCATCAATTTAAAATTGTATTCTTCTTAGATAACTAAAATAAATAAATAAAAATTAAGAATTGTTGAGGAGTTACTGAAGCTAAAGAATCACTTCTTAAATTCTAACAAAACTTGGAATTTGGAGTCTTTTAGAAAAATGCAATATTTGCCAGTTTAAAATTTATACATGTTCCAGTTAATTTAAAAGGCTAAAATATTGATGGATGGATGGCTGGATATTTTTACAAATTATTAGGCAAAAAAATATATTAACTATTAGACGTGGATAAATGATGTGTAAAATAATTGCATTTTACTTGAAAATGGAAGGGTCTTAGAACAAAAATTAAATAAGATGTAGAGTACAAAAAAAATCTAGCTATAGAAACTTGACTACAGACTACACCTCTGAATGGGTCCAAAATTTGAAAGACATGTAGCTATTAGAAGACAATTGAGTGTTGCATTTCGGAAATATGAACGAAATGTTTGTTTTCTTAAAAGGAATACCGTGTATATTTATTGTTTTTAGATTTCTTTCTTTTTCCTGTACAATATTTTGATTCATATAGTGATTCTGAACATCTGAACATAGTTAAGATTGCCATGGGAGAACTTCTGATCAGTTTTGAGTCAAACAATTCATTTCATGAATATTCAACCAGGAATAAAAACCAAATCAGGCACAACTTTCTGCGATTGAACAGAGCTAGAAATGGGACAAATCATTGCATTAGATTTTATAACAAATTACCAGTCAATGTCAAAAATCTATGCCCAATTCATTATAAAGGTGTCTTGAAAAACTTTCTTAAATTGAATGCATTTTATACACTTGATGAATTTTTAAATCATAATTTTGCTAATCTAATTTTAAATTGTAAGTCGAATTGTAATATTTTGTATTTTATAGTTGTCTGTACTTTATGAGTGTTTTTATAATATGATGTGCTTCTCTTTGAATTGTATTTTAATTGTATGCTTTGGCCATGTTTTTCTTTGACGTGTGTAAACATTTTTCTTATGTAATAACAGCAATAATTGCTTACTTACTGACTTACTTACTTACTTACATGGAACCATTGCATGTTTTCCTCAGTTAAATTAAACAAATGTTTAAATTCTCTATTAAGAAAAAATATCTTATTATAAAAAGAGTTTTACAATACATCCAACCTATTATATTACAATTTTTTTTTATAATGCCTTGTTATTCACATCACTTATAGTACTAACTTTGTTCAATATTTTCTCTCTTATAAGATATTAGATTGTTCGTTGTCTATTTAATTTTTCTGGATCCTCCATAGTAAGAACTGCATGGAGGTCAAATTAGGACTTTTTGCGGTTCATAAGATAGCTGATTTAAAATAATTCCTTGTCTAAAATACTTTTTAGAGTATAGCATTTCATTTTCTTAATAAAAATTTAAAGATCTGTTCAGTAGTTAAAAACGGAAAAGCATAAATAAACACTGGTTCTTAGGCAACCTTGATTTTATCATGAGGGTCAGTAAATACACCAAAATATTGTGAAAACTATCATAGTAAATATATGATCACTTTAATTAGAAAAAGGAGAGGGTTCCAGAAAGCGGCAAATATACGGAGTATTCAATTAAAGAAAGCTGAAGCTTTGTATATATCCGAAATGCAGCGTTTAATTGGTTTTTGTATATTACATTTAGATTACAAGAAAATTTCCTAAAACTGTAGAATTTACTATATTTGAAAAGCTAAATAAGTCAAAAAAGGTAGAATGTTATGTGAATATCCCTGTATATTATCTGAGGTTACTTATTGGTGACACAATCTTCATTTTTTTCTTTATTTTTGGGTACTTTGCCACCTGTGCAAAAAATGTTTAAAAATCAATTAAATAAACCCTTCCGCCAAAAGAGTCAGTAAAGGGTTATTTTTATGAAAATAGTTTTTCCTAACTAAAAATCTCACACTGAGAAAAGTAGAGACTACAAAATAGATATCCATGCATATACATATAATCAGTAAGTTGACTTTTCGAAAATCAATATGTTTTCGTCTTGTGAAACTGATAATGATTTTAAATTATTTATGATAGTTTTTTTTAAGTTGTTATCAGTTCAGAAGACGAATCGATTGATTGTCGAAAGATCGACTTATTAAAGTGTATTTGTTTTTTCATTGCGAGATTTTTGATTAAGTAAAACTTTTTTCGTAAAATTAACTATTGACTAATCCTTTTTCCGAAAGGGTTTATTTCATTAATTTTAAATTTTTTTTCTCACATAATATAAAACTATGCAACAATTAAGTAACTTCAAGTAAAACTATTAATAGTATTATAAGTATTTAGATAAAAAATATTTTTATAGGTCAGTATATTTTGCATTGGAATTTATCTTTCTTATGGTGCATCTCAAGGAAATACACCAGAGCCAATAAAAATCATTAGTCAAACCAATGAGATTTCCCCAGATGGTGGTTATGAATGGAGGTAAGTTGTGGTGTTTCTTATTTTGCAGTAAATTAAAGCACATTATAAATTTAACTGGTTCAATTTCTAAGGGTTCAAAACCAGTCTCTTACTCCTATTGACCATTCTGTGCTAAAGAGAAATACAATCACAAAGAAAAAGTGCTTATAAAATATAGAGGGGTGTATTAATATGGAAATTTACAAATAAAATAAATAACTATATCATTCGCAAATTTGGCGAAATGAAGATAATGATATAGGTATGATATGCAAGACATAACAGCAACATTTTTAAACAACGGAAATTTCAACACATCTGGAGATACTGGTGGCCAAAATAAGTCGATTGAGCCAAATATGCCTTATGCAAAGGTTTCAAAGATACAGGGCGTTCAATGTTTGAATTTTATTTTGATTTTCTTAATAATTTCGAAGACAATTGTCGGAGTATGAACAAAAAATTAGCACTATATACATTATATTTTTTGATATGACAAATAAGAATTTTTAACTAATTTTGGTGTTGCTACTATGGGGTGTCAGTTATGCACACCTCCGATAAATAGCGGATTTTTTTTTGTTTTAGAATTACAGATATTGTATTGAAAATATGAAAAACAGCCATTCGTTTCATAAAAAAGTTATTCTTGTTCATTTCAACATCTTCCTTCATTATCGAAATATTTATATATACAAATATTTCGTTTTTAATTTAATTCTTAAATTAAACTAATGCAACTTGACAACTAGTGCACGAACCAAGTTATTTTCTAAAAAAAATCAAGTTAAAAGTAAAGTAAAAATTGGTCATTGGTCTATTCTCATCCAATTAGAAGAAACGTAATAGTGCATAGGTGTCGATCACTAAACCATTATAAGACACGTTTTACACGTTAAAAACGAAAACATATAATAATTATAAAAACGTATAATTCTGTTAATATAGCTGTTATATCAGATTCGGATATAATTCTTTATACAACATATCTTCCATTCTATACAAATGAAATAAAGCGTATAACACGTAATAATATATAGGTAAGTAATTCATTATAACCTTTATTTCATATATGCACAAGGTATACTAAGCACTGTCCGGCGCTTATTGAATAATAAGTATGAAGATAAGTGGTTTCTTTAAATGCCCTATATACATTATTCTAGAGAAATAGTTTATTAAGCCCATTTTATCAGTGTAATCAAGAAAGTTAGTCAAGAAAATACTGTCAAACGATTATCCTACACTTTTATACATTCATACAATTAATATTGTACTTAACGAAAAACTTGTTGTTTGTATTTTCCTGATAAATTATCGCTATTGCACTCATACTTTAAATATAATTTGAATATAAATATAAAAATTATGCAAAAACCACTGTATGAGTATACTGTATAATTACTAAAATGCCAATAGCCAAACTACTACTTTAGCATTACGGCTAAAAATTCTTTAAAAATTGCTGTTTCGTAATTATACATTTAACCTTGATTTTTAATATATTATTCAAATTTGTCTATAAGAATGTGGTCGTAATTAATATAGAAAAAAAATATTATTCTCCAATATTTTTTCCAGAATTGTATAATATAAATAAGTTTAATTATAAATAAATGCCACATAAATATAGACATCAATTATTCGTTATCTCGACAATAATTATGTGTAAATATCAGTATTTCTGAATACATGGACAATTTTATTTGCCCTTTAAACAATTTGCATTCTAAGCAAGGAGAAAGTCTAGTACATCCTCGTATGATACTTATCATCAATTGTTAACATATATTTTTTAACTTCGAGTATTGTCATACACCTTCGCATGCACAATTTTAAATACATTACACTATAACCTTTGATTAAACTTAGATATCTCAATTTATTGTGGTTGTGAAGTGAGTTTATATTATACATATTTAGAATGCGCAAAAAGTTTGTCAGTTTCTTGCTTAGATAAGTAAATAATTAGAAGAAGATTTTATTTATTAATTGCAATCTTTAAAAGAATGAATAATATTACATTTTACGGTCATTAAAAAAAATAATTTTTAATTAAAAACCTGTTTTCTATCAAAATTACTTCTTGCGTGAGTTTTGGGACGCCCTTTAATATTTATATAGAATATCATTTCTATGAATTTTCAAACTTAGAAATGAAGTCTATTTACCTATATGAATATATGAACTCGCAAATTATAATTATTTCTAATGCTTATTGCAAATTATTTGTATTTGTTTATACTATTAGAACATATTATTTATTTTTGTGTGATGTCAGAATCGCTCTGTTTGTAAATCTACTACGTATTAGGCAGACGGCAAAATGGAAATCACTTATGTATTATATAATCATCATAACTTCTCTCTTTTCTAAACTTTTATTAGATAAATTTTCCTGTATTAATTCCCATTTAAAAGTTATAAGCAATATCGTCCTAAAGAGTCTCAAAAGAAATACCACCTAAAAATCGCATTAGCGTTGGAAGGGTCAACTAGTCGTTGGAAAATAATTGAATGTTCATTGTTTAAAGTGCATAAATGTCATTAAGAAAAAATAAAAGGATTAAACTCGATAATTCTTTAATGCAGTTAAACAAAAGGTGATGACAACAATAACTAACTTAAAAAATGAGGCAAACGCTTTCATGAGGCAAACATTCATATTACAATCTATTCTGTATATGACCTCCTCTTATTCCAAGATACATATCCAGTCTTCGTCTGACATCTTTGCGGGTTACGTTTATTAACATTTCGCCGTTTAACTCATTAAAAGCGTTAGTGATTTTTTCTTTCAAATGATTAATATCTCGCGAAGGTGTTTAAAAAATCGAGGGGTGTTAGATCTGGTGACTTTCCGGGCCACTGAATGGGTCCATTAAGCCCAATCAATTTTTCTGGGAAAAATCTAAATATTGCTCCACAATCCTGGCCTTGTGTCAATTATTTTATTTTTCCGAACAGAAAATGGATCTTCATTTCGTCGCAATGTCGTCTCCAATCTTGTAAAGGTTCTATGATCAGGAATGAGGCGATCTGGATACCTTTCTCGATATAACTCTAGAGCTCTTCTTGAATTTTTTATGTGACTCGCCGTAAATTAGCAACATATCAACTTTTTCTGAATGAGAAAACATTTTGTAAGCACGAAAGTTATACGTTCGTATTGAGTAATGACAAGTATTTTGTGACATTTGTGCACTTTAAACAACGAACATTCATTTATTTTCCAACGACTACTTGATCCTTTCACCGCTAATCTGATTTTTAGGTGAAAATTTCTCTAATAAAAGTTTATTTGAAAAAAGTGAGCTTTTTAACAGGAAAAATATTTGGGTATGTTTCTGGAAAAAATATAATTGATAAGTAATAGATAAATTAATAGTCGTTTCTGTCAAATCCCAAAGATAATACTTTCGATTGAAAGTAGCACTTATCTCATCCCATTTAACGCCACGTGTCCCTAATTTTATTTAAATTTTTTGTATCCTCACAGTAGGCTCATACTATGGAGTTTGAGATACCCTGTACAATTGTTCCCCTTCCCAAGCGAATTTTGAATCGTCCAAATATCTTTTTTTTCACCGAGATATAATAATTATTTGTAGTTACCGTCTCACCAAATGGACTCAGATGGAACGTCCTTGTCAATGGCTACACAGTTATACATAGTAACCTGCGACGTTATAACCGCCGACCTTTAACCCCAATTTCCTTAAACTTCGAACCTCGTAACTTTAAAGAAATTGGTCTGTAAAGGCCGGAGATTATAGCGTCGCAAGTTACAAAGCTCGAGGGTTCAGGAAAATGAGGTTTAAGGTTATATCGTCGCAGGTTACTATAACTGTCTAGCCATTGTCATGGACGTTCCATCTGAGTTCATAATTTGGTGCAATGGTAACTACAAATAATTATTATATTTGGACGATTCAAAATTCGCTTGAGAAGGGGAAGGATTGTACTTTAAGATGCTATTCTTAACTTTGCAAAAAAAAATTACCCAACGATATTATATAACCAAATATGTGTAAAAATGGAGTTATTTATCATACGATTTCCTGAACACGAAAATAAAGAATTATTCAAAATCTATCGACTACTACTATTCATATTGCAACGTTCAGTTAACAACAATAAATAAAACTTAAAAATTAAAAGCAAACGTAAATTTCTCTTAAAAAACAATTCTATTATTAGCTCTCCTGTTTTTACTCCATGAACAATAAAATTTCGTTAGAACGCTATTTTTGAGATTTTGTAAAAATATATTCGCATTCGCTCTTACATGAACCATGATTTGAACTTTAATTCAAGAAAATAATTTGACTAACGCATTATTTGTATTATTTCCATTCGTCCTAACATAGACATGCAGCATACGACATTGGTATTTGCCGTATTTGAATTTGTTGTTGTTAATAATCTTTTTTAGGAGAACCTTGTTTAAAATGGTTCAAAAACAATATCTTAAATTGACATAGTATCGCATATTACCTACTAGGATTATGTCTGATGAGAATTGTCAATACAGGGTGTTTTCTAAGTACGGTCCGTAACTTCAGGACACAATTTCTTATGGTATTCTTATGGTATCAAACTAGAACATAAAATGAGTAATAATTTGCATATTCTTACTAATAATCATTTTTGTTTAAGTTTTGAAGCGGCAAATGGAATAAAAGCTCAAGAAACCGGAACATTAAAGAAAACTAATGATCCAGAAAATCCTGAAGCTATAGTTGCTCAAGGTTCGTATTCGTATACGGATTTAGAAGGAAATCAAATATCTTTAACCTACACGGCTGACGATGAAGGAGGCTTCCAACCTCAAGGAGCGCATCTGCCAACGCCACCTCCTATACCTCCAAATATCCAAAAGGCGTTAGATTGGATTGCATCTCAACCATCGACAACAGAAAGAGCCGGTAGAAGAAAATAATAGTACAATAGTTTTCAAGACAACAACTTAAACTTTTTGCTGAAATAATTTCCTGCGATCTAAATTTAAACTGTGATACAAAGTTTGCAACTGTTGCAATTTGCAGCAATAAGGTACACGATAAAAACGGCAACTGATTTATCTTAATGACTTGGTCTCGATTTATTTATGTTATAAATATTGTAATATATTATGTAAAAATAAATACTTTACAATCTGCAAGTTGAAAATTGTATTTTATTTATAAGAAGTTACAGTATTTAACATTTTTTTCAAATCAAATCTGTCTAAATATTAAAAACATTTTACAAGCCACTTAAATACTACACTGCTAAATATGTTAAAGCATAAAAATAAATAAAAAACAGTCCACATGCGGCAAATTATAAAATGGGTTCCCAGTAACATATTATATGTTTGTTCTTAACTTTTTCACTACTTTCGTACGTATTACATATAGTCCAGTTGGTAGAGGTTCAGCCTGTGTCAAACCTTGATAACCCGGAAATAACTACACAGGCCTATGATGAGTACAATAACAGGCTAATTTGCTGACAAAGTATTTTATCAGGAAAAAAGTTATTAACAACTTAATCGTGAAAAATTTTGTTTTTAGTAGTTTTCTTTAAATAACTCAGCCGGATGACTTTGTACGAAAAAATGCTTAGGACATAATTTTGTTCGTAATAAAAATAGCTACAAAATGGCGGTGGTCCGATTACGAAATTTGCAATAACAAAGCCGTGAGATAGAAAAAACTGTATAAAACGTCAATTTTTTAAAGTTGCTGTAAAATGTCAATTATAAACAAAAAGTAATAAAACTTTCGAAAACTATAGTTCAATATATATTATACAATAATGACGCTAAAGCCGAAAATCAGAAGAGCAAAACTTTTTGTTCTATAACGTGTTATACATTCATCGGCATCTGAAACTCGAAACTTTGCCAAATTTGTTCGAAGCTTTGCTGACACTTGAAATTCGGTACACACATAGTGTAAATATGCAGAAACCAAAAGCAATTTGCAAAATTCAAGTATCTTCATTTTTGCAGTTTTGGTAAGGTTTTATACGTCACCCTAGTTTTATACGTCACCGTTTTTTTAATTTTTGGACGTATATTTATGTATATTTATAAAATATTCCATTACGGTAGATTAGCCAGCATAATTACCTACAATTTAAAAAAATATATATTTTCATCGTTTAGATCCTAAGCTACTTAACATTTTGCGCCTGTTAGCCGTAGTCGTACATTATTCAACATATTAACATAAAACAAAATCGTACGTGTGGGGTAAACCTTTAACTTTAAGTAAACAATTGTTTAAATTTACTGTTGCATATTTCTAATAGTATACAAGCGCCGAAGAGCGGAGCTCGCGCTCGAAAATGAAAAGTTAAAGGTTTACCCCACACGTACGATTTTGTTTTATGTTAATATGTTGAATAATGTACGACTACGGCTAACAGGCGCAAAATGTTAAGTAGCTTAGGATCTAAACGATGAAAATATATATTTTTTTAAATTGTAGGTAATTATGCTGGCTAATCTACCGTAATGGAATATTTTATAAATATACATAAATATACGTCCAAAAATTAAAAAAACGGTGACGTATAAAACTAGGGTGACGTATAAAACCTTACCAAAACTGCAAAAATGAAGATACTTGAATTTTGCAAATTGCTTTTGGTTTCTGCATATTTACACTATGTGTGTACCAAATTTCAAGTGTCAGCAAAGCTTCGAACAAATTTGGCAAAGTTTCGAGTTTCAGATGCCGATGAATGTATAACACCTTATAGAACAAAAAGTTTTGCTCTCCTGATTTTCGGCTTTAGCGTCATTATTGTATATATATTGAACTATAGTTTTCGAAAGTTTTATCACTTTTTGTTTATAATTGACATTTTTACAGCAACTTTAAAAAATTACGTTTTATACAGTTTTTTCTATCTCACGGCTTTGTTATTGCAAATTTCGTAATCGGACCACCGCCATTTTGTAGCTATTTTTATTACGAACAAAATCATGTCCTAAGCATTTTTTCGTACAGTCATCCCGCTGAGTTATTTAAAGAAAACTACTAAAAATATGGTAAAATATTTTGTCAGCAAATTAGCCTGTTATTGTACTCATCATTTAAAGTATTCCTGTGCAGTTATTACCGAGTTATCAAGAAAATGTCACCAACAGTAACTTTTCGACCTCTGCCGACTGGACTACTAGGCCAGGAAAAAGAGCTGGAAAAAGACCATCTCTAAATATTATGTACAATAACATATTAGTTTCCACAGTCATAAAAATGGAGGGAAGATTGTTTACAGGCTGGTTAATTGTATTATTTTTACGTAAATTCACGTTTTTCGTTTATAACTTTTTTCCGTTCATTTCCACGAGAAAACAGTAAAGTACTTTTTTTCGTCTTCAAAAGACTTACAAAACTAGATTAGATCAAAAGTTATAAACAGAAGAAGTTTATTTATGACTTTTGAATTAAACATTTATAAACTACGTTATTATTACCAGAACGTTTTGGCATCGCATCCTCTCATTCCTTATCACTGTCTAATAACTCACACGAAATCTGGAATTATTGGTCTGGACGATCTCGAACATCTTCCACAATCGCACTGATTTTTTTCATGGTAGATTTCATAGATAATCAAGAATCGTTGAAAAACAACGGAGTTACAGACTGTCAAAGTTGACGGCCTATTGTTAAACTAATTAGGTTGGTAACGGCAAAAAAATACTGTCATAACCGCAACCCGAGTACTTTCCCAGATAAAAATATTTTATTTGTGGAAGTATGTGCCGTGGCGCAGCGGAAGGGTGGGAGAAGCGAACGACAGCGAGTCCGAAGAAAATGACGATAATATTCAAGAGTCCTGCCAAAAAAAAAAACAAATTCGCTTGAAAATAGTATATGACATTTGTAACTCCGTTGTTTTTCAACGAATCTTGACGATTTTTTTTAACTCAAAGCTCTTTTCATAAGCTTTCCGAATATGTAACATAAATCTAAGAAAGATGACGCACATTTTTTAAAATAATTATAAAAGATATGAGAAATTGAAAATAAAGAGCAAAACTTCAGATTGCGTTAAAAGAGCTTAATAAGTTATAATATATGACTTCAAATATGACAAAATGTCGGAGATTTTGGTAAAAACTAACATTTTTTTTCTTATGACTGCGTCATCTCACCTTAGATATCGAGGAGAGATAACGCAGTATGTTAAACGAGCGTACATTTTTATTTTTTTCATAAATTTGTATTAAAACTTCATATAATTTACTTTTGGTTTATTTTGAAATTTATTAATAATAATAAATATAAATACTCATTATTGTAGTTAGACAAAAAAGCATATACTCTAAACGGAAACGTAATTGTTTTCGTATTGTTCTTTATTTCTGCTTAAAAAAAATCTAGCCATGCATGCATAGTCTGCTTTGCAGGATTTTCAGTTGAAATTGTATGGTAATTCTAGTTTTTCTGCCAACTCAAAAGCCATAAAGCGCATAACGGATCTCGTAGGTACAAATTCATGTGTTTTCAACTTTTGCTTGACTAATTTATCCTATTGTGGGCTCCTAGTGTACTTGAAGATCCAAACGGTTTAGTTTGAGGTCTTCACATTTCCTTCGGCGTCGCAAAGTGCATTCGGGGCTACCGAATTCGCGACCTGCCTCAGGAATACCCATCTCATCTCATCGATAGCACTGATTGCTTTAGACAACTGTTCTATTGTCCCTTCTCCTCTTCTAACATTTCCTTTTCTTTTATATTTCGTCGGTATGCTATAAACGATAAATTAATAACATTTCTGACAAAATAAAATTTTAAACAATGTATCTATCATAAATAGATAAATTAATAAAATTTCTGACAAAATAAAATTTTAAACGATATATCTATCATTGTTGGCGCAACTCTCCTTACGCATATACGTGCGTCAACTCACCTAACAGTATAAGGTGAGTTGACGCAGCAACTTTTAACTAAATTCATTAGAGGAAATGTGTGAAATTGAGGTTAGAACTACTTAATTACTCATTGTCTACAACAGAATCCTTGAAAACTTAATAAAAATATAACTTAACGTACCTATATATTTTCTGACTCTAAACGATATAAAAATATTTAATGTAACCTCAATAAATTTAACAAAATACCGTCACTAACACTATTCAAATATAACTGTATTTGATACGTATATATGTGACGACATAATAAGAATTATCGGTGTTGCCAAATATACGCTATGAGCAATGATTGTGCCAGAACGAGCAGTGCGTCATTTCATCTGATGCGTCATCTCTCCTAGATTTACCCTATATAACTACATTACGCGCGTGCGTCTTATATTTCATTTTGCAACTAAGGCTAAAAAATAAAAAAATAATCCAAGTTGCAAATTTGAAATTTAAAAAAAAATAATAATAGATTTCTATGTATTATTATGAAATCTATCATGAAAAAAATCAGTGCGATTGTAGAAGATGCTCGAGATCGTCCAGACTAATAATTAGTTAATTTGTTTATAAGGCCATAACTTGTAAACTATTCAACTTACCGATTCCAAATTTCGTGTGAGTTAGTAGACAGTGATAAGGAATGAGACTATGCGATGCCAAAACGTTCTGGTAATAATAGCGCAGTTTATAAATGTTTAATTAAAAAGTCATAAATATACTTCTTCTGTTTATAACTTTTGATCTAATCAATATTTTTTTACGTTCGAGGGCTAGTTTTGTAGGTCTTTTGAAGACGAAAAAAAGTACTTTACTGTCTTCTCGTGGAAATGAACGGAAAAAAGTTATAAGCGAAAAACGTGAATTTATGTAAAAATTATAAAATTAACCAGCCTGTAAACAATCTTCCCCCCATTTTTATGACTGTAAGAAATAATATGTTATTGTACACAATATTTAGTATCTACAGTGATAAATTCAGCTTGCCGAAACAAAAAGTCGCGTCCAACTCTATATTTTCCTGGCCTACACCTTCTCCTTTTTATTATGTAGGTACCTATAGTACGATCATATTCGATGCAAAGCAATAAATCATTGCCTGTTAAGGGAACCAATGAAGTACGCCTTTAAGGGTTTTACAAATTGAATATTTTCTTTATACATTATGAAGGGACGAGGGGATCAGTTCATGTCTGGCACCCTTGTTGCTACAAAAATTCCTTTATTCTCATAAACTGTGATT